AAAAAAAAAAAAAAAAAAAAAAAAAAAAAAAAAAAAAAAAAAAAAAAAAAAAAAAAAAAGTTATTTGGCTGCAGCTTCAGCAGCTTGAGCCGTCCATGGATTTATTTTTGCTTCTTTTTCTCTTTTTTTGTGTTTTTTTGTTTTTTTATGTAAAAATAAAGTTTTTTCGTCGATGAAATAGCGGCAGCAACATATACAACATAAACTGCTGCTGCTGCTGCTGCTGCTGCTGCTGCTGCTGTTGCTGCTGCTGCTGCTGCTGTCGTCGTCTGGGGGCACGCAACACACACCACGCGCCACCGCTTCATGCACTGAACACACACACACACACATATATATATATGTATAGCTGGCTAGCTAGCTAGCTAGCTAGCTAGCCAGCTAGCTGGCTAGATAGAGAGATATATAGAGAGGTAGATAGAAAGATAGACGGATTGAATAGCTACCTATTGGTAGGGGTAGGTTGCTAGCTAGCTAGCTAGCTAGCTAGCTAGCTAGCTAGCTAGCCAAGAACAGCTAGCTAGATAGTCCTAGCTAGCTACCCAGCTAGCCAACCACCCAGACACCCAGCTAGCCATCTACTCACCTAGCTAGCTAGCTAGCTAGCTAGCTATCTAGCTAGCTATCTAGCTAGCTGGCTAGCTAGCTAGCTAGCTAGCTACATATATACCTCCTGAGCTAGCTACGCAGCCACTCATCTATCCACCTATCAATCTACCCAGCTAGCTACCCAGCTAGCTACCCAGCTAGCCACCCAGCTACAAAGCTAGCCAGCTAGCTAGCTAGCTAGCTAGCTAGCTAGCTGTGTAGAGAAGAAATTACCCTGGTCTTGGTCTGGGGTCCTCCGTTTGAGGTCTCTGGTGCCTCTCTTAAGTTTTCTGTTTTTTGCTTTTTTTGCTGACTTTTGTCTTCTCCCCATTTTCTATATATTGCTGCTGCTGCTGCTGCTGCTGCTGCTACTGCTGCTACTGCTGCTGCTGCTGCTGCTGCTGCTGCTGCTGCTGCTGCTGCTGGTGCTGCTGCTGGTGTTAGTGTTGGTTTGTCTTGTGCTGTTTATATATATATCTAACAACTACTAGTATACTCACACCAGCAGCAACAGCAGCAGCAGCAGCAGCAGCAGCAGCAGCAATAGCAGCAGCAGCTGCAGCAGCAGCAGCAGCAGCACAAGGCAATGCCTGCTTGCCCCTCTAACTGAGAACAGCCCCTACAGCAGCAGCAGCAGCAGCAGCAGCAGCAGCAGTAGTAGCAGCAGCAGCAGCAGAGACCGAGGAGCTATAGCTGCAGCAGCAGGCTGGCTGCTGTTGGTTAGTATAGTGATTTAATAATAAAATATAAAAAAATAAAAATAAAAAAAAAACGAAGTTTGCTGCTGTTGCTGCTGCTGCTGCTGCTGCTGT